AATCATGAATAAACCAATATTGATTGATATAATTAATACAATGATACAAGGGATGTATTTTGTTTCAAAACAACGTAAATTGTGAAACGAATTAATTTGTGTGGTCGTATTTCTTTTATGTTGGTGGCCTTCTTTAAACGAACTGGTTTTCGAGGAATATTTGAATGAAAAATATGTACTACTTAAAGAATGTACTTATTTTTAAAAACAGTGAGAACCAGGTTTTTATACATATATTTTCCGTAACGTTTGAGAATTAAGTAAACCAGCGGAATTCATTCATCTGCGTTCTTGCATTGAGACCTTTGAGTGAATGGAATCTCACAATGAGCAAGGAAATTGTGCGAAATGTATTTCCACCCTCTCAGAGAACCTTCCTTTGGAGGCCGCGTGAATGAACAACGGGAAGTCACTCGTTGGCCGAGACTGGAATTTTTCGCGCTGGTTACGGGATGCTTTGTTCAAAGGGCGTTGAAGTCAGGCAAACAGCCTCAAAAGCTTTGTGCAAATTTCAGTGGCCTTTGCGGTTACTTCTTTTTGTGTACACTCTACTTGCGGAACATGAAGTTGTTTAAAGACAGGTGGAGTATCCAAAATAATCTTAACTTTTCGTGTTTGAAGACCAGTACAAATTCAATAAAATGTTGAAATACTATGTAGAAATACTATGTAGAAATAGCATATATCATCAATATTACAACAATTATTCTGAATGTTTATTGCATCTATCGTTCACAACTAAGATCAAAAGTAATAAATATATGACTAAGGTAAAAAAATCTGTAAAATATATTTGTTTCTTAATGTGCAAATATTTAGTATTTAATTATGGTGTAAAATATCTACCTTATTACAACATACATATTCAGTGGTTTTTCTATTAAATAATAACTTGATAAGCCAATTCTTTAAAACAGAAAATAGTGCACATCTTTCTTTATTTTTGTGGATTATAATGAAATGTGCTAGGCTAACATTTGCTGTGCACGTCAATACTCATTGCCTATCAGTTATGAATGAACTATGCACTCTCTTCGAGACACAGGGCGCTTCCTGTTTTGCACAATAAACAATCAAAAACAAAATCTATTCTTTTTTTAATAAACCCAATTCAAATGAGACGCGGTGTAATAAACTTTAAAGGATCTTGTGGCAACTGATGGCAACATTTGGAAACGAACCTCAAAGCCATAAAACAAAAAAAATTGCAACTAGTTTAGAAATATGGAGATTGGAAAAAATATGGAAAACTCATGAAAACGTGAAAGTAAATAAAATAGTTGAGGAGAAATTAAACATATCAAATGTTTAAGTATAAATAATATGTTGTAGAAAATCGAAAAATATTTCATTGTGAAAAATAAATGAAAAAATATCAAAGAGATAAGAGTTATCCTCTACTTATGTAACTTCTGAAAATGAAATTGACAAAACACTGTTGTGACACTGAAAACGTTCATTATTTACGTATTTCCGAAATAAACTTTCCAAATAACACAGAAGAAATCACGTTACAGTTTTTTTAATTGTACTCTAAGGCCTATAATACTAACTAATATAAACTAATAAGACAGCTTGGGGAGAGTTTTTTAATTTTAATTCTTCCATGGTCAAATAACAGATATAAAATATTTAGTTCGCAATTCTTTTAATTTAACCTAGCCAACCATATGTATTTGTATTTATCAATTGGTCTCGGCGTCATTAGAACCCGGGGTTTCTAGTCGGTTACCCAACCAGGACCCCGCGATGTGTCGTAGTCACTTAACCTTCGTGACTTCATGTAGTTAACGAAATCGGCCAACGACGCCAGTTTTGCGGTCGTGGCCTTTCAGTAGAACCAACCCAGTATTTGCCTGGATGACCGAGGGAAACCATGAAAACCCCGATCAGGATGGCCGGCTCGGGGATTGAACCGTGACTTCCCGGTTGCGAGCCACTTCGCTCGGTCAACCATAGGTTCCTCCAACTAAAGGAGTTTTTCCTTTGCAAGTTCTGCGATAAGAGGCGAAACGAGTCTTTTCTCTATTCTAACGACAAGTATGTTCCATTGAATTTTTTGTTGGTTCACAAATAAATCATTAAGTTTACATCTACTATGTTCATGTAAACATTAATGCAATAACTTGTATCTACTTCACAGCGCTTGTTTGTGCTCCCTTTTACCTTCTTCCACAGTGGCTGTAACAGTTTAGATCAATATTTGCATCTCATATCTAAAGACGGAGCCGACTCCCATGTCAACAAATAATGATCGTGACTCTATGTGGAAAGGAAACACGACTTGGTACACAAATTAATGAGTATTTGTGGTGGACATAGTAAGATTCCCTTATGCGGACCGCGTTGTTGTATAAAGATTTGCGTTGCCTAATGTGTGTACGTGGTTATATTTGTTATGCACATTCTTTGGAAACTGCAAGTTGAAATACGATATGTTATGCTTTAGTAGCGTTTAAGCTTGCTTGCGCCAGGTCTAGTAATCGTGTTCTTCCAAGGTTTCACAATCATATTGGATAGAACTAACGTTGTTGGCTCTGTATCTGATTGTGGTTTCACATGTTCTTTAGAAGTAGTCCTTCAGTGAGAAAGAGGTATTCTGAGGTTGTCAATATTAATTTAGTTAAAACTAGAGATCGAGCATTGTAGGATAATGCTGTTCTCGCCCTATTATGTGACGGTACACCTACCAATGCCCACACGGTGTAGTTCATTTGTCAGCGTGGTCCCTTTGCTTGATGAGACCCCGGGTTCGATTCCCGGTAAAACAAGATTATAATGTGCGTTTTCCTTGCAATGCCATAATATATGTTTCGGTGTGACGATAAGAAACCTCACTTCTCAGTTTGATATTACCAGAAGTCGCCGTAGGGGTGACTTTGTACTAATCACACGCTCCCCTTAATTCCTTGTCCGCGAAGCAGGGATGGAGCTGGTAAGCCGTGACTCAATCGCGGGCCGTCGCATCAAGTTCAGACAGATGCCACATTTCCTGATTGAAAACCTTTCGTCTAAATTAGTCTGTGCGCCCGTATAAAGTTGGTGAATATCAAGACAAACTTATCTAATCGTATATATTCGAGTTTGTTACTCCACAAGCTAGCTTTCCGCAAATTCACTGTTAGTGATCTGCTTCTAGTGAGAGATCAAGTTTAGCCGCGACACGCGAAATGATAGTTTATCCAGCGAATATTTTAAAGTACTTCTCTCTTATACTCGTCACTCGCTTTTTCCATGTTCTTAACGCAGACTGCAATTAATGTGGGATTTCTCTAATATTTTTTTCTGTAAAAGTTCAGTTATTGAAGTAAACACGTTGTTTGAAACCTGACATAACAAATATGATGTAGACAATAACTGCCATGTTTGTCTACGTTTTGAATTCTTATACATTTTATGCTGCATTCAATTTTTTTCTTACTAGTTTTTTGAGCCGACAGCCGGTTACTCTTTAGGTCCTGGGGGCTGTATATTCGACCATGCGAGGTCCTCCGCGACACACACACGTAAGAGACAACGGGCAAATAACCAAGCTCAAGGTGGGACTCGAAACCACAACACTTTGGACCGACGCACTAAGTCGGCAGACGCTATACAGGTCGGCAAAAATATAATTTAATGATATAAATAATTATATTGCAGTGTTTTGTAGATAGTAAGTTTGATCAATATGTCTCTGTTAGCTTCTCACACGACCGAGTGTTGATGACACGAATCAGTAAGTCGCCGGGTGACAGGAGTCATTTGTGGACCCACAGTCTCATGTCTGATGTGTCCTTATAATGAGGAAGTAACGCGTTTCTGAAATTGTATTGTATGACCTAGTGCAAATTTAATCTACTGCCCAGCATGTTCTACGAAGTTGACGTTTACAATCATTTGAAAACATAAAATGTTCAAGCATTTCTTGGGCAGGATCAAACCTTCTACAGCTAAAATTTCTCTAGAAGTCTCGGTAGAAGGCAATATGTATTTGTTTATCACAAATCCTGTCCCTATCAGTATCTATGTAAGTATGATATTTCTCCATAAAATAATTTTTCGTTATTATTTAACACTACTATATAAGTATACTTAAAAATTGTGCTTCCTATCACATTACAAATTGATTTTATCAAGACGTACACTTCAAAGTTTTGTATGTTTCAAGACCTAGATAACATTATCAACAATATACATATTTTAGTTTTAAAATTATCCCGGTTATCTCTTTCTTATTCAACTTTAACCATGGCTTTAATATTCATGCTTTACGAGTATCACTTACCCCAACCAATAATGAGGTAGACACGCAACTTGATCTTTTCGCTGGTGAATGTTGCCACAACGAGCATGAAGAGGTAGAGACCTGGGAACACAAAAGAGTTCTCACATTTCTTCTTACAATTACTTGCCTCTCATTTTAATTGACGTATCAAGATGCTGGTAACAAAGAGAAGGAAAAGCCTTTGACCTCACAGGAAACGAGCAACGGCGCGCAATAACGAATGCAACTATTGGCGTCCCTACAGGGCACGTTTGAGATAAATTACCAACGACAACGATCATGCCTTCATGCCTATAAAAAACAGGCAGTTATATATTCATCTTTTTTATTTGTATTTCCTTCTCAACCTCTGCGTTATTCGACTCAATTACATCATTCACTAAATTATCGCAGTCCCATTATTTCAAAAAGTACCTTTATGAATGAACAAGTATCCAAACACACATCAGTAAATGTGCTTTTTTGTTATGAAGTAAAACTGTACAAAAACCTCATAAAAATAAATTGTCTATGTTTATCTTTATATATTTAGAGTCAAATTGCAAAAGGGGTACCAACAGCAGTAACTCAAATCCAACGCAATTTACATTAGTATCCGTTGTATGCCATAAAATGTTATTGGTTGGAATCTCGCAGTTCACTCGGACATGGCGAAACCTGGTATACATAAAATGTAAAGTGTTTACTCCCAATTCACTGAACAGATGAAGGTGCACCGCATGAAATTCTGGGGGGTTACAACTGACCCGCAGCTGCAAATCAGCGGAGCAATGTTGTTAACACGACGCCTGCAATGAGCCTGCGTGATGGCTGCATATTTAACCTCCGCGCAGACAGAAATACACGCCGCCACACCGGTGATGCTACGTGTGACGTAGACCGCATGCCGGCTACGGGATTTCTCATGCAGGAAGCTAATCAGAGAGATGCTGTTAGAGAAATTCACACTAATGGGACGCGTATTTTAAGAGCCCTTCACATTCTGAACAATAACATCGCGCCCAGACGATTGCGATATTTTTGTGACTATTCCGTGAAATGAAGCGAGATACTGCATACAAATGTCGCTTTTTTTTGCTGCTGCTGATTTTGATTGGTTTGACTTGGTGTACAATGCACACCCAAATTCCGGTGAATGTATTATAAACTCCGTATTATAAACACATCTTTTAATACTTCAACAATTAGAATATAATAAAAATTAAAGACTTGTAAGAATTAAACTTAATTTCGTATTAGAATCTATAGTTTCCCCATGAATTAATGTTGAATATTAACTTTCTAACATACTTACGTTATTTTGTAAACGACGATCGTTCACAATTATTACATTAATGTAATTTGGCATTTGACGCAAAGAGTAATTTGTTCGGAATTATTAAAAATATGATAATGTGAAAGAAACAAATATTTTTTTCATCATTCATGAAAGGAAACAAGTATTAACCTTCACTGATTGTTAAATGAAAAGAGTTCTTTTGTTCTACGCCTACAGCAAAGACGTCATGACCGCTTATAACTCGGTACAGCAAATTAAACCAAACACTGTGGTGACATGAATGAAAACAGCTACCCCCTCGCAGGTTGAGTTTGATCCCGAGTCTGCACACGTAAATTTCCATGAACTCGTGCAAACATCTATGCAACTCGTACGAAACTGTCTTGGCGCTTTCAAAGTGTCAACCCGCTTCAAAATGCTCGCCCGTTAATATTGCAATCGAACGCCAAAGGCTCCCTTTCGGTATTAGGTATGTGAATATACATTATTTATTTTGAAAATGAAATCGATTTTACTCATGAAATTATTGACAACCACATTTCGACAGAGAGGTTGCCTCTATATTTTCTAATTTTGAACCCATTGTCGTTGATGATAGATAACCTGCTATGTGAAAATCATTTACAGGAGGAGGAAAAACACTTTTTGATGTTAATAATGTATAGTTGGCTACATTTCGACATTATATTCCGACGTTATAAATTTTGAACGTCACATAGATTTTTACTTTCTTTTTAAGACCACAATTTCCTAGTTTCTTTGGAATTTTTCTGATCAAACTAAAGAACAAACACATTCTGATTCATTTATGCCAAACTGTCACCACTTCCAACACATAGGAGGTTGTCCATCATTTACGACGAAATGCTATCCTTTTCAAATGTTTGGTATAAACAGAGTACATGGGTACTGCCGTCTGAACACATTAACATGCTAAAAAGTACACTGGGATAATGTATTTACTCCGAGCCGTTATGTGAATGATATAAACGTAATTAAACTAAAATGCAAAATTGTGATTGTAGTTCGTTGAAATTCATGGCTAATTAATATGCATCATGTAATTCATATGTGCAAAAAGTAAAGTTCTATTAATTGCTCAAAATGTAAATAAATGAAGCTCGTTGTCACTAATGAACATTGTGTGCGACAAACAGTACATTACAAAAAATTGTAAATGCTTATTTTTATTATTTCATCTTACCTTCCACAAACATCCAGAAGAAGTTGGTCAGGTAAAAGTAATGTATCAGTACCACTAGGAAGGCGCATGACAGGAGATCGCCCGCATACCCCTGTTAAAAATAACATTGCTAAAATTGCTCATAGAAATGTCTTCAAACTTCTGGATGATGACATTATTTCTATGGATAAATCATCTTTTTTTATTTTCTTTAAAAATGCATTACCTGCACGCAAGCGTTGAGTATCCATGTTGCGTCATAAAAGATGTACGTCCACATAAGATTTGTGTGGATGGTGTTTCTAAGACATCGGAGGTCTCTGAAAATTAACCATTCGTCAATTACTAAAGTAAAATTCTGCATTATATGAAGCAGCCTGTTATAAATTCGTCAATGTCATAAAACTATTTGAATACGTGAGATAAAATATTGTTGGTAAAGGATGGCGCAAAAAGAACTCATGGATATTACTTCCATAGTATCGGTGGTGGGAGTTGAATAGAGTGGTGGGGGACCTGTTTTTTGTAGCTTAGATAATTCAGTTTCAGTAGCAACGGCGCTGTGGACAGTGCATCATCGTGTTTTTGCTGTTGAATCTATCTTCAAAAGTAATGACTCTGTGATCGCAGTTCAACGGCTTTTCCGAACACACTTCATTGCACACACTACAACAAACCTTGTACACTCATGATATGGACGTTGCAATACGTGACCAATTATTGCTATACGTGACCAATACGTGCTATTTCGCAAGACACGTTGACGAAAGTGATGACGAACTTAGAGAAAGACTATGTATTCACAAAGATGGTCGCAAACTGTTTAACATCTTTAAAACGTGAAGAACGAGACAATTCATAAATTGGATATATGACCAATTGTAGTGATGCGAGTATATTTAGTATGTGATTAAAATAAAGGCAACTATACTAGTTAGAAATCCCTGAGTTCTTTTTGCGCTACCTGTGTACATGTACGTATTACATGTTACATATAACATTTGTATTCATATGACATATGAGAAATACGTGTGTACCAAAATCTAATCATTTGAAATTGAATGGCATAAACCAATATCAAGGATCAGAAATAACAATATACTATTTCATTTATTTACACTATTATATACTTTAAAATGCCTCCTGGGCCATTGTATGCGTATTATGCTGTGTAATACATACAAAATAAAAAAAACAATTTATTGTAAATTGAAATCCCATACATACAATCTCTTCCATTACAAAAAAATCATGTGGCAAGAAAATCTTTAATTTTTTCTTGAGATAATAGAGTAAATATCTAACATGCCACCTTATTACGTAAAAACATTTCTACTTTATTTTACAAAAAACAAGTTAAATATTTTCTAAAAACTCAAAATCAAATATATTTTAAAAATGTGCAATTAATTTGACAGAATAAAAATTACGTTATAAATATATTATTTCTATTATTATTATTATTATTATTACTATTATTATTATTATTATTATTATTAATATTATTAATATTATTATAACAACTTGCATAGCGAGGGGCCTACACAGGATATTTTCATATCAAACAATTTACTCGTGCTTTTTTTTAGTTTAAAATAAGAAGATATTTTAAACCTATTCCAGTTGCCGGTTTTTAGAGTTCCGGTCTACAAAGTTACTTGAAAAGTGTCGATTAAAATTCTTGCTTAAAGTTTTGTTTCATAAAAAAATAGGTTCAATTAACGTCAATTAAGGTGTAACGATACATGAAAATACCAGGAAAATTTTCACCAATATACATCAATGTACAGTTCATTGAAACAATTAACAACACGGGATTTTTCTGGATTTCTTCCAGAATATCCTGGAGGGGAAATGGTTGAGAATAGTCCAACATTTCGAGTTGCCAAGAAAAGTAGAATGTGCTATGAGTCGTGATCACAACTGCGGTGCTATAAATCACCCAACTCGCGTATTAGGTGCATAAAAACACAGAAAACCAAGTTTAGAAAAATATTCTTAGAAGATTCTGGATAAATCCGAAAAAAGAGATTAGTTCTCCATCAGGAAACCGAGACCCGTCAAATGACTTCACTCGAGTTCATTAGTGTACTCGAAGAACTATAACAATAAGAGGCGTATGATCGCAATTTACTTGATAATAATAATAATAATAATAATAATAATAATAATAATAATATAATTAATGTATGATTAGTAATGCTATTACAGTTAAAATTTGACCTATTTACGAGTGTCACTGGAAAACGAAACCAACCTTATGCAAATTTAATACACGAACCCATAAATTAAATATTCTTTCTAGAAGAATAGAACCAGGAAAAAGACATTAAGATAATAAAAAAGGAAAATTGTTAGCTAATATCATCCCATTTGCACATTGTCCATTTTAAAGAGATTTATAGAGACCACTTCCAGCACAGCATTGATCACGTTCGCTCTCCCTTTCTCTCTATCACCATCTTCGTTAATGTTGTTAAAAAGATTATCTCAAATTTGCTCTACACATCGCTAGCGTTCAGCTCATTTTTCAAGATTGGGGATAATGATTGTAAATCACAGCCTTCAATTTGTTGAACAGATTTTATCGATTGTTGTGGGCCGCTATGAGCTTTTGCTATGCTATGCGCTGTGCTATATGCTAGTAGTTTGACAGCCCAGGACAGCCATTTATTTTTCCCAAAAGTCCCTATATTAGTCCGTTATTATTTATTCTAGTTTATTTAAATAGTTTGAAGTGAGTTCACAGAAAATATTTTCGAGGATAAGTTGTGAAGGAGACAATGCCATTGTTTTGTCAATCATGTTTAATATAACAAAATTACATTTCTTCTTCGAACAAAAATAAGAAAAGCCATTTTTCTTTTAGTGGTATTTTTTTCCTTTCAACTAACTTGAAAGGGCACTTACTTGAAGTAGAGGAAGATCCAGATGGCGACGCCCAGCGCGAAGAGCGAGAGGCAGAAGC